GTAAGCCCTACACTAATACTTGGTTCTTGGCAATCTTCAAGCCGGAAATATTTGAGATTGAATATGTAACCTTTTCCTGTATAATACTTCTGAATCTATTATTTAAAGATCAACATCATCTTAACATACTGGCATCGTTTTTGTTTTTTTTTCTTCATGGTCTGGTTATTGATTTGTAAACTTAATAATTCCAAAATGAATATGAAAGGGAGAGAGATAGAGATGTGTATTAGAAGGATCAATTTATACCAAAGTATGCCACGAAGGCTTTCCATAAATATCAAATTTAAAACTTCTCTTGACTACCGATATTATAACTGCTTAATACTTCGTGCTCAAGTGAAGACGTATACATAGCATTAAACGTAACATATTTTGCATTAGTTATTGTCTAAAGAAAGGACGGCGTCGTGGTAAACAAGATATAGGATTTCTGACAGCATGAGATGTTCCAAGCACAACACGTTTCACGGGAGAGTATTACTAGTATCACAATCTTGAAGTTTATGCATCAGACAGATTTGTAATATATATTATAATGTTCTTTATCGATCAATTTTGTACACCTTTCGCAAATTTGTTTTTCTTTTGACATAATTCTTATCCTTGTTTCAATTTTAATCAACTGAACAACGTGAGAAGGTAGACTGTGAGAATTGAACGACCGTAGAATCTCTAGTATCGCTCAACATTAAGCCTTGATTCGTAAGCTATTTTGCGTGTATGCTGGGATTCCTCAACCTTTCTGAAAATTTGACACATTCCTATGCATGCTAAAAACAGCATTCTAACACTCTCCTACACATACCAATAGCATCTACCACATTACCAAATAGTTAGTTTCATCCACTTGGTCACAAATATACAATAACATTTCCAGGTGCGTTTCACTCATGTTTATCCATACTAAACAGTGACAGTACAAAATCCACAAGTTTAAGGTCCACCATATACTACTTTTTCCCTTACCTCTGAAAATCGTTCCACCATATTTCCGTATGCTTATCACAATGTATAGCTGCTCCCTACAAATTTCTATATCATCACTGCACATTTACATAACAAAAACCCGCATAAACTACTTCTAACAACACAGAAATAATACTGCCTCGCGTCCAAGAGTAACTTCAAAAGTATTATTTTTCAATGAACAGCCTCATAATTCGAATACCGTAGCCGATATGAACACGACGGTCTGGGGAAGTGGTTATCTCAGGAACGCGTAGGTGTGTTTACAAACTGATAGTGGTGGTAAGCTCGAATATACTCGAGTTCTATATGTAATTAAACTACATTGGTTGTACTGAGAGAGACATGTAGTAAACTAACGAAGCAACACATTCCGTGTAATTTAGACATAGGTTATAGCATATCCTCTGCTTTGTTTTAGCATAAAGTAATCGCTTTAATGTTCC